TTTTCAAAGATGTTCAGTTGTGTAATTGCATCCGTTTGCAGCCATCCTCTTGTGCAAGTGTAAACATTGAGTTGGGGGGCGTGGCCAGCAGCAGCTTATTTGCATTTAAAGAGACAGAGGCCCTAAAACAGCTCAATATGAAAGAGGTTTAATTTCTAGAGCTGACCAGAATAAAATCTGATTGATTTTGTGCAAAAAATGTAATGAACATGTTTTGTATAGATCACAGACCGGTCCTAACCTGTTAAAGGAAGCGTCACCTTTAAAGATTCATCAGTTCCAGAGAAGCTGGATGTTTGTAAAGCATAAAAACAAATGGATGTAAAACTCTGCAAACATCAGAGGTGAACACACATTGTGATACTCCACCACCTCCTCGACGAAATCCATCCCATCAGCCAGCGGAATCCGGACTCCCCTCTTGGTCCAGTCTAGACTCAGAACCAGAACAGAACCACTCAGAGCAGCGCTGGAACTCAGAAGTTCTGGTTGCAGAGAAGAAGTGGGTTCTTACTGTTGATGAGAGGAACCACAGACATCTGCAGCATGGTCTTCAGAGGAGCCTGCAGAGGAATCAGCTGCAGGCAGACAGATGGTCAGAACCGGTTCTGATGGGTCCATCAGGAAGCATTGAAACCAGGAAGTAAAGACACACTTACAGCCAGAGACTCCAGAGCTGACTGGTTGGAGAAGATCTTAAACCTGGAAGACAACAAAGATGTCTCTAATGGCTCCAGAAACGAGGAATTGGAGCAAAATATGACTATAGACCAAGATCTGGTTTCAGAATTAAGGCTGCGTCGTTCACACCAGGCCTGTTGAGTCCACTTTAATCCGACTCCATTTCATCTGCCTAGATACTCCGGTTTGGTTGGCGAGGTGTGAATGCTAATTGACCTCTGGTCCTCCAAACCTTGGGCTGGGTTCGGTTGAAGTGAACGCCAAGCGGACCAGAGACCGCTCCAAAAGCAGGAAATGAACTACAGCGCAGGGCATTCTGGGTAAATCCAACCAAAGCTAACACATTAGCCTAGCGCTAGCAGCAGAAATGGCTCCTGGTCTTCAGCCTAAAGAGAAATCCTCCAGCCGCTAAAATCTGACGCCTCCATCTTGTTTCCATCTGGTGAAGAAGGAAGTTGCTCTCAGTGTCTTCAGAGGTTTTTGTGCCGTTTCCTTCAGTGGTTCTTGGTGCAGTTTGAGTCCAGAACCAGGAAGGTTTTGCGGTTTAAGTCTAGATCTAGGATTGTGTTAAAGGGATAAAAGTGACACCTTTACCTGCGTAGATCAGCACGCACAGCCAGACGTTTTCCTCTCATGGAGACTTTTGCATTAAACTTAGCTTCCTGCAGAAAGAGAAAATAGCTGTCTTTGAACTAGTACCATTTAAATTATTGTTCAGCCCGGTCCAGTAAACTGGGAGTTCTACTGGGCTGCAACCAGTCAGACTCAGGGATCCAACAATATTAGACCGAATGTAGTTGTGTGTGTTTGGTACCATGGTCATACTGCTGAGCTGGACCGGAGGTTGGCCTGGAGGCAGAACCATCACCTTGACGATGGCTGTCATGACAACGGTGGCCCCGGACGTTTTGATGGAGGTTTTTGGGGGCGAGTTGACAGCAAGCTGCAGCGACAGTGGTGCATCCACCAGAGCTGGGTTCTGACGGAACAACATCAAGAACATCAGGAACTACTGAGGTCTACAACGACTGGTTCTGATTGAGTTCTGGTTCTGCTGACCATCATCATGATGGTTCCAAAGTACGTCGTCCTCAGCAACACCTCCAGATCTTTGGGCATCTGAAGGAAAAACAGGCACAAGTTCAGACTGGGTATCTTTGAATGTTGATTGACTGTTTGGCTGGTTGCTTAGTGATTGATTGGTGGTTGGATAGTTGACTGATTGATTGGCAGGTTGGTTGTTTTATTGATTGGTTGGTTGATTGATTGAGTTAAAGAAAAAAACTGGACCTAAAATGAATCTAAAATGGTCACAGAAGCAAGAAGAGAAGACATGTCTGTTCTGTGTTTCTCTAATTGTTCTCTCATGACCTTTAAACTGAGTGTGCAGGGACCTCCACTGAAGATGACCAACCACAGCTCCTCTCAGAGGTCACTTTGAGGTCATTCTAGCTTAGCTCTGGGCTCATATTGAGGAGGTTGGAGCTAAAAGACCCGAGGATCAGAAATGTTTCATTTGTCCTTCAGGTGAATTGTGGATGTTGGTTCCTAAAATATTAAAGTTCTTCATTAGGAGGAAGGTTTTTTTTATTTTTGTGAAGAGTAACTCTCTGAATTCAGATTTGAATCTGTTCGGCCGTAAAGAACTTTAATTTCTATCTCTGAGTCTTAGTGGCGTCTTGAGGTTCTGGGTGAGTCGGGTCCAGTGACCCGTCTGTTCTGGTTCACCTTCTCGTTGACGATGTGCATTTGGAAGATCCCAGCAGAGTAGTAGGCGAACATCCCGCTGTCGAAGAAGAACTCAGACAGAGCGAGGTAGACCATGCGGTCGTACTCCCTGATGACCGGCTCCACCGCGTAGTTCACCAGCGGCTGGTTCTGGTTGGACAGGTCAAAGAACATCCCCTGGAAAACAGATGCGCCATTGGTACCAGCTCTGACCCGGTTCTGTCACAACATGGCGACGAGTCCTACCCTGAAGTTCATGTCGAGGCTCCGCGACGTCACCACAGGATCGCTGATCAGAGAGTAGTCGATCCCGATGTAGTTATCCACTTCGCTCCGCACCGGGATCGTCTCCAACATGGCGTTCACGTGAACCAGAGCAGCGTGGTTCAGCGCCGGGCAGATCTGCCGTGAAAACGCACGAGTTCAGAACCAGAAGACTAGGTCCGGGCCAAAGCCAGATCCTGGTCTGAACACCCAACATAACCCAAGCCAGGATCCGGTTCTGGCTCTGATCAGAACTGGGACCGGATCAGAGAGTGGACCCACCCGTTGGTTGAGGAAGAATCGCATCCCGGTGGTCAGAAATCGGGCCAGGAAGTCATAAACTTTCCTGAAAACAGAAGTTCCTGGTTAGGTCACGTGCCAGCCTGACAGCTATTTCCTGTTATTGATCAGTGATTGGCTGATCGGTTCTGGAGTTGAGTATGCTGGCCTCTGATAGGGTTGTACCCGAGCGTCCCGCTGAACTCTGCCCTCATTTTCTTGATCTTTGCGTCACAGCTGATGTTGTTGATCTTCAGCCGCCCTCCATCGTCTCGGATCAGGTTCACGGCCGTGTTGATGTTCACGCCGTCGGCAGATGCGTTGATGTTCCCCGTGTCGTAGCTGGAAAACAACCAGCCCGCCATGTTTTCACTGTTTTCCAACCATTTCAACTTAAAAAAAACAAAGTTCAAGTAATTGATAAAATCAGTTATCTCCCAGCCCTAACTGTTGGATTTCACATCAGAAGTGAATTTGATCAGTAGAGTTAGAAGCATCATCTCACAAGAACCAGTAGAGGATCCGGCGCTGGAAGCTCAGAGCGATGGACGAGTTCTGAACGTCGAACAGCAGACCGACGTCTGGGAGGAACTGCAGGTCCGCATGGCTCAGGTTCAGTTCTGTGATCTTCACGCTGAGAGAGAGGAAGACATAATGAATCGGATCATAAGCAGCGCCTCGGTCCGGCCGGACAGAACCGGCAGCAGAACTCACTCTGTGATGGTGTACTGGAACCGGCCCTCAGTCCCCTTCATCTCCGGCATGCTGATGTTACTGAGCTCCTCTTCCACAAACCTCTGAGTTTCAAGCTTTACTGGGAAGACACAAAACACACACACACGTTTGCATGGCTATCTTTGTGAGGACTTTCCATTGACTTCCATTCATTTCTACAGCCTAACACTAACTCAATTCACACCTTAGTCCTAAATCTGACCTTTGACCCAAACCCAGCGTTTCCCTTGTGGGGTCCAGGCTTCGGTCCCACAAGGAGCAGTGGGTCCCCACAACGTAGTGTCAGGAAAATGGTCCCCACAAGGTTTTACACACACACACTAATAATATAATAGTAAAATAAGGAACAATAATTCCTTATCTCTGACACAAGTTCCACTGGCAGGTTATTTCACTTCTAACAATATTTTCCATGTTATAAGTCAGAGGTTCCCAAACTGTGGGGCTCGCCCCCTAAGGGTGGCGCCGTGCCATTCCCGGGGGGCGGGATGGATGAAAGAAAAAGAACAAAACAAAAAAACAACGATGAACGCTGTGTGTCCCGGGTGTGTGTGTGTGTGTGGGGGGGGGGGGGGGAGGATGACAAAAAGAGAGGGCCAATAAGAGGTTCCCACCCCCTTGCTACAAA